GTATGAAAGAAAAAAAAAAAAAAAATGGGCGCCGTTACACGCGTACCTCTCTTGGCGGTAGGCAATGTCCATATTATTGCGGGAAATGAAAAAAAAAAAAAAAAAGAAAATTCTACACAATTACATTTTATCAATGTGCACACGCACCGAGAGGTGCGCGCTTCGAGCTTACGATGGTATCCCGTACGGTTTAATATACGTGTATATGCAGAGGCACGTATGTATGTATATATATGTATACACCGCGTGCCGGAGAGAGAGAGAGGCTAGAAAGATAGAGGAGGGAAAACCGCGCACTTTCTAAAGGCCTTCGGTCGCCGCTGTGTATAGACCTACACACACGCCACTTTGGGTATTGTATATACATACCTACCTACCTACCCAACGTCAAACGGCATTTCCAACCAACGCGACGATAACGACGATAATTGTGGCTTCTTCTTCGAAAAAACGAGCATCGTCCGTCCTTTCATTTTTTTTTCTTGTCGATTACCGAATTACTCAACAATAAGCGCTCGTTAGCGTTATCGCCGCTTGGGCGATGTCGACGCGATGTATGTACACACCTTTCCTCCCCCCCCCCACAAAAGGGGGGAAGCCAATGGTCCCGTATAGACGAGGGCGTCTCAATTAGGTGCACATTATTCGTACACGGAAGATATGAATCCTCGATGACTCTCTCAACTTTTCCAAATGAGACACTTTCTCGATTATTTCCGGGGGGTTCCATTCGGGGCCATTTATGCATTATCTCGAAAGGGACGGAAATGTTATTGCTTGGCATTTGGAAAATTCACGCATCGCACAGCCGCAGTACTACTTTACGGTGTATATATACACGTAGACAATTGCAACTTCATCCGCAGGAGTTTCGAAACTCCCACTTGGTGGCGCGTGACAAGAACAAAAGGGAGTTAAAACAACTCATTTGCCGCTACTACGGACATTAGTAAACTCTCGTGCTCGGACGGTGCTGGTGTCAGTTAATTTTCCAACTCTGCATCATGTGTACAAATATACGAGTGATGCATCATTTATTGTTTTGTTGATAACTGTATACCTATACCGACGCCAAGGTGTAAATTTTATAAATAATATAAATAAACAAAAAGATGATACCCACACGTAGCTTATATATATATATATATATGTAGCACAAGTATAGAGAGATAGCAATTTTTATGTTGGTCGTCTTCTTTTTTTCTTTCTTATAAATATACGCGCCTTTTGTTGTGAAAAAAAACGAAGGGCGACTACGTTAATATAAACACGAGCCGAGAAAAGTATTTGCGTCGTTTGAGTCAAAAGTTGATTTCGATCTTACAAAAAACAAAAAAAAAAAAGTGATGAATCGATTAATCATCGAGTGAACGATTAATTTCACGACGATCCAACAGAGAAAGGGAGACATTATAGGTGGTACAGTCGACGCGACTCACCCTACACATATACAGGGTGACACTTGTGGCTTTTCGAATTTTTTCTTATTTACCCAAACGATTCCCGCAACCGTGGAACAATTGACAAGTTAAAAGAGTCGAGGAGTAATTGCCATTCATCGTCGCGGCCGCTCTCCTTCGGGGCGAGACTAAGCTGCTGCCGTGGGGTTTAGCGAGCACTCCCCATATATACTGCTTTTTCGCAGATTTCCACGTGTACACACAACCATAAATTATAAGAGAGGCCCGCTACATAGATACATACACATGTATATATACGTATACCTACCCGCTTACAGTTTGCAATATCGCAGGAGTTGACTTTCGCGCGCGTGGCCGCAGAGCTCGCTCGTAAGTATATACGGACATGTGCGCGAATTCTTCGGATATCTCTTTTCTCTCGCACATTCTCTCTCTCTCTCTGCTCGCTATATACTCGTATCGCTCATTTTCCCCTTCTCCCGATAACCAGTGTGCGTTTTATCGCATACACGTGCACAATGTTATACATATTTTCATATCTATATGTGTATATGCACATTATATATTTGTGCAAGCCAATAAGTTAATATTTGTCACTTGGAGTTAACTTTGGAAATAAAAGTTTTATATATTAGTGAATAAGTATTATTACATTCAAAGTTTATCTCCAAGTGGAAGTTGATAAGTTTTGTATACCGTGTGAACTGATGTATATAATATGAAATCATCGATCCGTTCCGTCCTAAGGCCGTGAACTTGTACTTTGGATTATTAACTATGACCTCCCTTACGCGCGCCTCTCCTGTTATTGTTATAATCATCGATTTTAGCAAAAGAAACCACCCCCTGTACGCTAACATTATAACTGGTGAAACTATGTATACACGTATAGTATACGACCACAAGTGTCGTGTGTGTATATACTCATGTCTCGGAGGATTATCAATTAAATTGGGTCGTTATTATTTTATCGAACGACTCGGTGCGACGGAAACTATTTCCCCCCCCCCCCCAATTAGTTGCCATTTGAATTTGCTCATCATTATGAAAAGAAGATAAGAGATTTCTGTCGACTATCCTCCTGCATGTTTGATGATTAGAGAATGGCTGTGTAGAAAAAAAAAGAAAAAAGCATATAGTTGGATTCCGAGAGGTAAAAAAAAAAAAAAAAGAAGCCGGTTTTGAGAGGAAAAAAAGGAGAGAGAGAAGCACCGTTAATACGTATGTATACCAGTTTTTCGATAAATTTCGCCGCGCATCAGCTCTCGGCCATGGTTGTGTATATTTATTTATTTATAATTTGTTTCCCCCCTCCACACGCGCGTATATATAATAAGTAAATCCTTCCCCGGCGGCTTTTCCCGACAAGACAAACGTCCACGCGTTTCCGCACGCAGATTTCCTATATGTACGACATCGGCAGGAGAATATACATGTACGGGGGATCGTCTGTGATGCAGCTGCCGAGGGAAACAAGTTTGTCGAGCCGAGAGAGAAAGAGAGAAAAGAAGGCGGAGAAGATGAAAAAGGCAAAAAGCTTGCACACGCCGGGTAAGCATTTTCCCAGGAAAATCGAACCAACCGAGCGTTTTCCGTTAGTGGAGCGACCGGACGGGTAAACAGATAAACTGGCCGTCGACCCTATATTATATACACACGTTACAACCAACTCACTCGTGCGCGAGTTGCTTTGGTGCACGTACATTTTTTAACGAGAAAGTCACCTTGTAAAACACACGTGGGACGCCAGATATTGCCCACGGATTATTCCTTTTTTTTTTTATATTATAGTGCTTTACGTCCGGCTCCTTTGATATGGGCACTTAGCACAAGGAAGGGATGAGGGGATGGGAGGGGGGTAGGGGGAAAATTAGGCAATTTTGCTGCGAGAAGGTCGCCTAAACCCTCCTCGAGGAGCATTGCGTGGTGAAAAAGCACATGTGAAAAATCACAGAGGTACTTGCCCGAAAAAGTCGCACTATGGCCGGGAATTGAACCACGGTCTCCCGCGTGTCAATCCACGACCTAGTCGACCGAGCCACCGCGCACTCCCGGATTATTGCTTACCCATCATTAGCAATTCATTCACGAGTGCACGGTATATATATACGGGTAAACAGAAGATTTCATCTTGTGCGTTTTTTATTTCAAAAGCGCACTGCTGCGACCGAAATACGCGACGTTACAGGTGGTGACATTATAGTATAAATATGTAGTTTTCGAGAGCGTGTTTCTCCCGATTACGCATTCGAAGCTCAATTTTTGACGCACAACACACGCACGTGATAGGCACAAACATACAACATATAACATAGTTTAGCGTCTAGATTGCTTTTTTTTTTCTCCTTACGTAACAAATGTTTGGTAGGTATATTGGTACAGGTATGCGCGACTAGTACGTATTTTACTAACTTTGTATTTAATTTTTTTTTTTTCTCCATGTTCAACGCAGGTGACACGCAAAATTAACATCCAGTCGTTATCGCGACTCTCCCGTCGACGCCATCAGAGAGGAAAAAAAAAAAAAAAAATTTATTATTAACAAAATTAATGAACGCAGTAAGACCTTCACCCTTGACATCCTTGACAAAAAAAAAAAAAAAAAAACAGGTATAACAAACTGTATTGATTCAACTATGAAGAAGATACGCCAAAGGAAGGACCGTCAAACAAGGGAGGGGGGGCATACAATACACACGTATATACGTTGTGCGATTATTGAGTCGTCTCGGCTGCAGCCGATGAGGAGGAGCGCGGGCGTTAACATACCTATTGTTCGGCACACCGCCTCCTCGTCGGACACCCATACGTCATTTGTATTCCAAACGAGCTACTCCCGGCCGATGATGAACCTGCGACTATCATACGTATATATGTGTATGACCACGTCGCGCCGTCGCCCCTTTTTCCCTCCCCCGCGTGCATTTATTCATGAGCCTTTCTTCCATCTACTTACCGAGTGTTTAATACCGCAATCGAAAAAAAAAACAACCTCGTAATGCCGTTTGCAAATTAACGTACGGGTACATTAAATATGCGGGAGAGAGGGTGCGACAACGATATTGCCAAAGCACTAGATGCCAAACTCCTCGAGATCACCGGATAAACCAGAGATATAATATATATATAAGCCCCAGCCCCTTTGACGATCGAAGCAATGAGACCATCTATATATACGAGCGAGGTCTCGCTGCAGGCGCTTAATGTAAAAACCGGCGTGAGGTGTTCGCGCACAATGAAAAGAAACGCTCGAGTTATCGCGCGTACACCATTTTACACAAGTATAGATAAAATATACATGTGCCTGTTTATCTAATTAGCGTTTTAGCGCCTCGGGGGGGTGTACGGAGTAATGAGAAAAAAAAAACAGGGCTTTTTTCGGTATCAACGGCCTCTAAATTGCTGGCCGTTTCGCGATAAGCCGTCGAGTACGCGATATCGATACACATATATATGTATAGGAACAAAAAAAAAAAAAAAAAAAAAAAAAAAAAGAAATGCCGATCCGTAAAACTCGCGCAGCGTGTAATCCACCTATGGGGCCGATCGATCGAGGAACAAATGTATAAACAAACGTACCTTTGTGTCTGCGCCACTGTCTGTAGAGCAGGCCGGCGACGGCGATGGCGAGACAGGTGGCGATAAAGGTACCGGCCACCGATGCGGCTACGCTACCGGCGCACCCGCCGCACTCACCCGCGTCCGCCATCTAATGTCGTTTACGTATACACAATATATATATACACACACACACACACACAGACACACACGTGTATATAATCTGCAGTATCGGTTAATATATATGGGTGTGTATGTCCTCACGCGCGCACGATTCCGTTCGAGCCCTTCGTTATTCGGTGGTTAGCGCCGCAGGAGATGTCATAAGCGTGAACCACTACATCGTGCGCGCCGATTTTCGCGGGGATCGTCAAGCGGAGGCGCGGTATAAATCATAACGCGCGGTGGGGTGGTGTGGGTTCGACTCCCCGCGAAATGGCCGAAATCGGTAAACGATTCGACTTTGGGACCGAACGTAAAAATTGGAGAGATTATTTACGGGCTCGTTGGCGATCGGTTGCCGATTCGCGGCATTATACAATCGACTTATTGCCGATCGCGCGGTTGGGTTGGAGCTCCAGGTGCGGAGGACGCGCGAGTCTCTCGACGACCGTCTCGGTACTGAAGCGGCGTCGTCGGCTGCACACGCGCGCTCACCGAGAAAACCGGCAACCGGACGACATGGACTTACGAGAGAGAGTGGGTAGGTATATTGGCGCAGGTATGTACGTATACGTATACACACACATATATATATATAAAATATACATGAATGGTAGTGGTATACATGTATATGTGACGCGTGTTCTTTTGTAGTTGCGTTTATGGTAGTAGGTACGTATAGAGGTGTGTAGTGTGTGCAACAGGTGCTTCCGAGAGATAGAGAGGGGGCGGCAATATGCAGTAGCGGAGCCCAGGTATGCGAAGAGAGAGGGGGGTCACATGTACGCATTATCTCCATGTACACCTGTATATGTTTATAGTGTATATATACACGTGTGACATGATACACACATATATATATACAGCTTTGAGAGGAGAGGGGATACAACATATTATATATAGGTTTGTAAAAAGCCGATCTCGATCCTCCAAACGCATCCATGCAGTTATTGCAGGGTATATATTATACATACCTGGCTCCAAAATAACGGAGCGAGGGGGATGAACTCGGCAGACTCCCTGTGTATCCTATGATGACCTTAAATATAATCTTTCCTCCTCGCCCGTGATGTTACACACCTCGTTGTACTCGTCAGACATTTGAGATTTCGAGCTCTTCGCGTAATGTTTATAGGTGTACAAATCTATCGAGCGGTATTTATAACATATGCACGCGTCGCGTCGTTTTCATATTTCATACAAGTGTATAATATATAGGCACTCACTTGCTCTGTTTTTCTTCTCTCCCTTTCTTTAATCATGTAAAACAAAATCGACCGACAAATTATACTTTCCATTAAGATAAAAAAAAAAAAAAAAAGATAAAAAAAAATTGATCGTAATTGAAATGAGTATATTTATGTATAATACAATTTGATAAAGATCCGAAAGATCGAAGACGATCGCTATCGCGTCGTATTATATTGTACACCGGTACAGCGACTCGACGTTTACATATATATACAATGTATATATTTTACCGATCACGTTTTGCGTCGGTGTAACGTACAGCTCCAAAACAAATGCACACACAGTTGAGTTTTGTTGGATGGACACAATCGGATACTTTTTACATTTCGTTACGTCTCGATAAAATCGACGAAAAATCGGCCAAGAAATTCGCAGGTACTCCGCGCGCAGGAAACCATAAGCTCGTATGTATACGAGATTCAGCAAACGCGCGCAATATCATATTAACACCTATACACACGTGACAATGAAACGTCTCGGTCTCGTGAGAAAATAAGCCTGCGTTACCCGCATTGCTCAGGTATGTTGTATATATATGCATTTGTATAAAATACACTTGACTCTGTTTTGCCACACCACGTGATACGATAAACGTACAACGTACATGTATGTATATATATGTAACAAGAGTGTAATTATACACGAGCGCGCGAGGACGATCCTCTCTGTAGGTATAAAATATATACACCTATACGTACACATTGGGGCGGTAAAAAGAATCCGCTTTGGATTACACGCAACGCGCGCTCGCTCGGGATTTTATAAGTGTATTATGCGAGCTCTACGAGTATGATGATGACGATGAATATTTATTGCAGAAGGAGATATTTTTTTTTTCTCTCTCTCTCTCTTCCTTCGTGTACACTGCGCACTTTTGCCGCGGTGCGTGTACGCTTGGGAAAAGCTAATTACCTACGCGCTTAAATGTACACGTATAAATATTTGTCTTCCCTATGCTGTCGAGGTACGCGAGTGGGAGGGGAACAATTAACGTTGCGGGGTCTCGTGGTGCTTGGAATTTTATAATGATCGGCTGGCGCGAAAGACCACCTTGTTTTTTTTTTGCTCTTTTTCAAAGTGTTGCCGATTTTTACCGATTACTCGTATTGAATTGACGGTTTTTAAAGAAGCGTATAATCGTCCGAATATGAAACATTGGTTGAATGAAAAAAAGTGTTTTGGTTAAAGCAATGATCATCCAATGGAGCATAAATTTGTGTAGGGGACCGTTTTGGATGGTTCAAATATGATTATCGAGCTTCAAAAGAAAAAATGACTTTCGCTGCATTTGTCCCTTTAACAAAGTGACGAGGAATTGTTATTTTTTTCAGTTAATTAGTTTCATAACACATAGTATCTAACGAAATTATTCTTACATCACAAGAAATGTATGGCTTTTTCAGACTTTTGATGTGTGTCTTATACCCTACTTACGTATTTTATTTTCATATTTTAAATTTTCTCGTCAAGGCAATCTTGGAGGACTTTTTTTTTTATGACGTTTTACAAAACATCAGTACTCGAACTTATGCGTAAATAAAGTATATTTACTTAACAATATTACCTAGTACTTAAGCATTTAAAAAAAGGGATAATTTGTATTTGTCATGCCATTTTCCTACAATCATTTGTGGTACATTGTATACTATTCACACCCACTTTATTCAATGCATTTTTACACATTCATGATTGTACGAAAAAGCGCTATTGGGATCATTGTTGAAAATTTTAATACTACCTGAAAATAACTTTTCCGCGAAAGTTGTCGTCGTCATCAGCGTGTCGATATATACGTATAAGTCAGTAAATATATCTATGTATTTTTTTAAATATTATAGTGCTCTACGTCCGGCTCCTATAAAGGGCACTACACAGGGCACTTAGCACTTGGGAAAGGGACAAGGAAAGGGATGGGAGACCTCCCATTACAGGGAGGGGGGTAGGGGGAATTAGGCAATTTTTACTGCGAGGAGGTCGCCTAAACCCTCCTCGAGTAGTATTGCGTGGTGAAAAAGCACATGTGAATAATCACAGAGGTACTTGCCCGAAAAGTCGCACTGGCCGGGAATCGAACCACGGTCTCCCGCGTGCCAATCCACGACCTAGTCGACTGAGCCACCGCGCGCTCAATA